TCGAATCAGAAGAAATCGAGGGACAAAGGGATTCTTCCCTTCAAAATGTTCAATGAAATTTCTAATTTAATTAAATTCCTTTGTGAGAGAACGGAAAATAATCTGTCGCCCTATATATCCGTTCCAGTGTACTGTTACGATTATTCATTTGTTGTGACTCCGATTTAGAATAATTATTATGAATCGTTTGGTATTTTCTGTGTTGATGAAATATGATAATGAAGCAAATAAGTATTTCTGAAATGTGTGTGTGTGTGTGTGTAAAATTAATATAAATCATGATAATGGCTTAATTAATATGGACATATTGATCAATTATTCTATTAATTAATTAATATAAATGTATGGATAATTTCAAGTTGCGCGACGGTTATCGAGGGTTCGAACGTGAAACTCGGTGAAAAAATTCTCGAACGAAACGGGGATTTGAATAAGTAGGAACTTTAAATTGAAATTGAGAGAAACTTCAAACATCGAAAATCGAAAATTAAACGAGCTTCGAAGGAACTTTCGTCCTCCGGCAAACTTAACGAACTCGACGCATAATCTCTTCCGAAAAGAATTTCGTTCTTTTCATCGGGGCAGTTGATTGAGAATCGCGAGTCGCGACCTCTTCACCCGGAGCGAGGCGCAGGAGTAATCGCGAGGAGTCAAGGGGACGTGCAGCGCGGGCATCCGTCAGCAAGAAAGCAATTTTAAAATCGACCGATAGTTTCTCTCGATTGCTTCAATCACAGTCTCGTTCCGTCTTACTTGCAGAGTAATCCCATCACCGTTCAGAAAGATCCCTTCGTTTCGCTCGCGCAACGAACGAAGACAAGACTGGCCCGCGGAGAATCGGAGCTTAATTCGCGTGACCGTGCCGCTTTTATTTCGAGGCGAAATTTGCCCCGGCGAAAGTTTCGCGAACCGTCGAACGACGTCGGTCGATGTCGAGAAAGAAGATTACCGGGACGGGTCGGTGGCGGCGAACCCGTGAAAGAGGATCGTGAGGAAAAAGCGAGCAAGGCGAACTATAGAGGCGTCTGGCTGCCGGGCAATCTGTTAATTCGATCGTAAATCGTCGTTAGCGGAAAATTTAGTTGGAACTTAGCGGCGATAATTACACAGGTTTTGCAACGGCGGTGCTTGAAAACGAGATGAGATGGAGCGGAAGGGAATAGGAGGAACGTGAGTGAGGGAAGGAATAGGACGGGTTGAGGGTAGCGGTGGGGTAGCTGAAGTAGGATTTATTGGGCGATAAGCGGCCTGCAACTTTCTTCCCTTACGATCGTCATTCTTTATCAGGGCACTCGTGGTCGACACCAACGTATCGAGCCCGGGGATACTAGGCTTTATGAATCGGGATTATTAAGGTCCTTGCTAGATCATAGATCTTCCTTCTCTGTACCCTTTGCTGCGCCGCGCGCCGGTGGCCGATCGCCCGATGAAAACGTCGCCACGTGCCATTCGCGCTCCTTCATCTTCATACAGTTGGCACCGTAGCGAAAACTCGCTTGCCGATAGTTCGGATTGCCTTCGTTGTTCCTGCCATTGGATAGCATCTTTCTTGGTTCCTTTCTGAACCGTCCGTTTGGCACGAAATAGCGAACTGCTAGTGGTGGAAGTTGGAAAAGTTGTTCCTCCTGTTGTCATAGTTGCGAGATCTTTTAGAGATGTACGAAGTTATTCTTTCGGCAGAATGTACGAAAATATTTTGACTGTCAAACGGTATTTATAATTCGTTGTAATAATTTATATTAAATTGTAATTTTCACAATACTTTACGTCCTTTCTAATGGAGATTAATAATACTCGATGGTACCTCGAGAGATATTTCAAATTCACGGCGTCTTTATAGCAAGTGCTGCTATTTCCCTTGTATCTCAGGGCATCTTCTTACTTCCGTGTTTTCCGCAACGAGAACGAGGTTGAAGGGGACTGGTTATAAGGTTTTCCGGCCGATAGGACTGCGCACGGTGGAAACTAGCGCGCGAGCGATGGATGAGAAAGGTGTTGAGTAATTTATCAGAGTGTCTGAAAGGCATGAGTTGCGATGGTACGGGCTTCTCGTCCGTGAACGCGCGGATCAGCGTAGCGTGAAGTCTTATCTGGCCAGCGGGAGTCCCAAGGCCGGTCATATCCTCGTGGTTGCACGGACCACGATTATCTTCTCAGATAACCGGCGACAGAAACGGCACGTCATAAATTTTATATCTGTTGTTCGTGTGCGTAACAACGATTCTGACAAATGACTTTCTTCAGACACGATACTTTTGCACTGTCAAAGTATCCTTCAAGTAGTATGATCCATCCGCTAACAGAGTTTCTTAACTTGACTCGCTACTTGTTACTCTAACACGACGCTCTTTTTAGATATTTTGTATTTAGTCTCGCTTGTTCGAAAGAAATTAATCTAAATTGCTTAGCTCTATCAAACAGATTGTGGATACGAACTTTCTTGAAAGCAGACCAACACCTGCATACCTGTTCGCTATTTCAAACTGTTAATTTCTTGCAACTTTAACTTGTTCGAGCGGTTATTTAATGAGCAGGAGTCACGTCTTGGAGTATCAGCCTATCAACCCGACAGTTCAATTATTCCACCTAGTATGAACGAGGGAATGCTGCCTCACCGATGAGAGATATGGAATTTCACTTACACTACAGGCCAAAAGTTTTTCTTATTCAGAGTACGTAGTATTTCTGTTCAATCGGTACAGTCAAAAATATGTGGGAATTAACATATAACAAGATTTACTTCCAAGTCGCTAATAACCCTTACAAGTGGTTGATGCGACTTTAAATAATGAAAATTAAGAAAATTCGTAAAATTATGAAAAAAAAAAATGATACCATGGATAATAAATATACACGTATGCTCTATATAACTTTAAAGTTTTCATAATTTCGGAGATCATCTTGCCCAAGTACGAAGTGCAAATGCAACGAAAGTGTACCCAAACTTTTGACCGGTACTGTATTATAGTGTTCTTCGTAAAGCACTCACGGGAGGTATCAAACGCACGATGACACCTCATCGTTTCATCCGTAGGATCATTAATCATCGCTGCGCACGCGTGACCGTATCGATAGCATCCTATCGGCGTTCTATCGGGGGAAAAACTTCGCGAAAGTCTATCGCCTGACAGAGGAGCGGAAATCACGGAAGATCGGCACGGCACGCAGGTTTTTTTCTTGGCTCGACTCTTTCTCCCGTTTCGTCGGCCGGTGTTCCGTGTTTCCGTGGCGGGAACACGCGATTCCCGCGTTAACTCCCGCAGAGCGCAGCGGGTGTCCTCGCGCGGACCTCGCATTAACTCGCCTCCTCGCCTTCCTCGAATCACCCTTCTCGCAACCCCCGGTTCTCCTCCGCAACCACCGGTGAAGGCATCGTGCGCACAACACACGTGACGGTCGTCTCCTTGGCTATCTCGACCTCGGTCAGAGCCGATGCACGTACCTGGAAGCCGTGCTTCCTCGTCCACCCTCATTTATTCTTCAACGAGGCTCCCCTCTCCCTCCCGCGTGCTGCAGATGTACTACATCTAGATGTGCCGTTTAATAACGCATGCACGCATCGACCGTTAAATTTAGCCCTGCGGAAATTAAGAGTTTACCTCGGTTAATCGCCCGGCCGGCCGAGGTAACCCAGGCGAACACGCGATTCCAGCGTGAATTCTTCCGTTGTATTCGACGCGCAACCGAGGCGTTCGGGGATTTGTATAACAGCCGGTGAAATCGCGCTTAATCGCCGGGGAGGCTTTCTGAAGATATTCTGTTTCAGCAAGTTTCGACGCTGCCCCGACATTAGACGATTCTCTGCGCTGGCAAATTAGTGACTGGGTCACTTTGAAGTGAGAACGAGAGATACATTTTGTTGAAAATTGTCTTTTGATTCTGCGAAATACAGACTGTTATCTTTCCAGCTCGTAACTATACCGTAGCATCGTGTGATTTTCAATGAGTTTTATAGATTCTTTTTGCAATTCAGAATGAAACGCACTAGTCTCGTGAAAATTATTCCCGAAATTAGTTACATTGCTATAGCATTAATTCTTTTCTTTTCCCTCTGAAATTGAGAAAAAAATTGAAGATGAAGAACTCAAGACTGTTGATCAAGATTTTCCCGGATTTTATAGAGTTTGATATTTTTATGAAAACAATTGTGATATTTAGTCGCAGTCGCGAAGGCCGAACTAATTAAGCCGAATTAGACTGTAGCTACCTGCGAGACAATTCCATCCGGTTATTTTCAACCGGAAATCTGGAACGGAGGTCGGTCGACCTCGATACCCGATATCTCGCTAAGGCGGAAAATGCCGCAAATCCAATTATAAATTAAGGATCTCGCGAATAGAAACGCGGCGAAAGACTCTTCGAGTATCCGTGGATATTCCATTTGAATGGCCCAACTTTATTCTCCTTTCCTTCCTAATAGACTCTTCGGAGGGAAAGGAAGAGAATCGGATGAATTCCTCTCTCTGTGTACATGAACAGAAACGCTACGTGATTATATCTGGAAGAATCATTTTTATTAACCCTCTTCTCTCGGCATCTTATAATTTTTCTATGATCTCGAGCTGCGAAACGAGTCACGTACGAGCTTTTCAACAGAAACATTTTCATTATCGTGA